AATTGGCAGCATGCCGTTTCTGCTGTACGTGTGGGAAGGGTAAGAATGCGTCATCTGTACGTAGCAGTGAGGCTTACGGGTAGTGGTAAATCTGAGGCAGCCAAGCTTACTAAAGTGTGCCCACAATCTGAGATAAAATTGGTACAACCACGCTCTACGAACTGCCAAATTTTGTATACGACTTTCCTGCAACAATGCTGTAGACGCGTTTGCACTGGAGTGTTTCTTCGGGCGAGGGGCCGATGGTACATAGCCCCAATCCGTTCGTTTGCATTGGTCAAAAATTCTGTACGCGCAATGAATAAAATTAAAACACTGAAAACGTTTAGATCGAATGTGGATTCTTTTTAGGCGCCACGCTCTCCCTAACTATATGGAAAGCGCATAGTAATGCAGCACCCAAATCCGCCGTGACTCCGCGCGGCCCTGTCCTCGATGCCCATTCACTAGTTAGCAGGCCAAAATTCGCGATGTTGAAAATCGCGTACCGTGTAACAGGTGCGAAAATCGTCCTAAATCGTTAATTTATCGTATAAGAATGGGATAAAGTCATGCAGTAGCGATTGAGTGCGTGTACATGATTTTACACGTTTTGTCACGGATTTACACGATTTTACGGGATTCGATACCCCGTATTTTGGCCGAGTTTTCACTAGGGGTTGTGCTGCCATCTGATCTTGCGATTTCGTTCTGCGCAGCTGATGGGGGACTTCGAGAGGAGCGCAGGGGCAACAGGGGGATCCAGACCAACGCTCGTGTCCAACCAGCCGCACGACGAGGTGCGTCCATTCAAGTCTTAAAATTATTGAACCTTAAATTCTTAAATTTTAAAATCTTAAAATATAAGGTGGTTGCAAATTTGCAACAACCACCGTGAACGACGTGCCTTTCAGGTGTTTCGGAGCGCCACCCGCTTATTAGAGAGCGTTTTCCTGTGCGTTGCTCTTGCTCTTGTCGACTGCTTCACTCCCTTTCAGGCGACGCTGCAGCGCATGAGGAGACATGTGGGGGGCCATGTCACCGCCTTTTCATGACGCCGGGGTCCGTGCAAGAGAATGCGATGCCAATGGCTGGAGAAATGGGAATTTTGAAGTTGAGACGTTGGAAATTGGAATTCGGGATTTGGTTTGGATGATGAAAATTTGCGAAGATCAAAGCAGTTTGGCACTGCGCGCTGTTAGGCAACATGCACATGAGATATTGAGGCGGTCGACCTCGTTTGCAAACGAGATGACACCAATTGGTGCCGATCAGGCTTGGTTTTTACGCCGTAAAAACTGATCGTATTTACGTTTTTACGCGTAAAAACAGTTTTTACGTTTTTACGCGTAAAAATGCGTAAAAATACGTAAATACAACGTAAAAACTGCCTGGTGTACATAAGGACAGTACATGCAGACTTGCGGAGTCCGGGGAGTGGCAGCCAGACGCCCTGGAAGGGGCAGAAAACGAGTTTTTGTTATGCCCCATCATCGCCCCTGCCGAGGGCGATGATGACATTGTGCTGCGGGTGCTGGAGATGGTGAAGCACTGACATTGTACGCAACTTTCATCGTGTAACTTGGGTGTAACAGGGACCCGTAAAAACGTAAAAATAGCCGTAAAAGTAGGCCCTTTTGCAAATTTACGTTTTTACGCGTAAAAACGTAAAAGTAAAAACGTAAACGTAAACGTAAAAACCAAGCCTGGTGCCGATGCCCAGCTCAACCGTGTGCTGAAGAAATTTGCCCATTTTGCTTTAGGTAAAGGTGTGTGGTGCGTCCCATTTTTGGCGATTTGCCGCGTAACGCATGATTCATGTCAATTTTCGCTCTTGCTAATCTGCCAGGGCCAAATTGACACAGGAGTGGGTATAGAGACACGCGACGGAGAAAAGGGTGATTGGCGCAACTAAGCAAAGCAAGTCGTGCAATATGCGCCACATTGACACCAGCAAAGCAGTGTCCAAGGGAGCCTCTGACATGCTGCACAACCTTAATAGAGCGCCAACTAAAACAAGGGGCCAAATTGTTTGCCTATGACAGTCTCCATCCCCTGGTATCGCTACAGCCGCCCCAGTTATCACCATCCAGTGCAAGGAAATTTGAATTTGCCAAAATATGAGCACATTTGACTTGTGGCTTCTAGGCAGATAAGTGCATTCACTCTGTTTTGACAAATAATTATTTTCAAAAAAAATCACAATTCTTCGACTATTAAATATTTAGGTTGTTGCATTCAGCCACAGTTAGTGGATTCCTGGGTGTAGACCTCTTGCACTCCACCATTAAAGATTTAATGCACACAATCATTGGATGTGCTCAACTTTCTCCTGTCACTGTATTTTTTCAAAACGCACCATTAATCAAGCAAATTTACACAGCTCTGTTCCATTCCTAACTCTTCGTTCCTTGTCCAGGAGGTTAATCTTAGTGATTCGGGCGATCTCTCACCCGCAGACAACGGATCTGCAGGTGATCACTGAGGGCATGGGCAGAGGAGCGATTTAGAGACAAGTGCACTTCATAAGCGAATTAAGAAACATAATTCTATCTATAGGAATACCTTTCCCACTCCCATTCGTCCTGCATTCGTCCTCCAACCAGTCTATTTGGAGATTTCTATGCCTAGACAATACTTTAACTGTTGGAATATTGATAACTTGAATAAAATTCATAGATCTATTTATATATGATGTCAAGTACCACACACTGATTTATGAATTATATACGTTTTTCATATCATTGCGTTTGCTTTGGCAAGGTGAACTGTAAGGTTTTTAAGAAATTTCTTTGGGCCAATTTCTTTGGCACAAAAAGTTTTCTTGGAGACAGATTGCGGGTAGATCCACCGGAATTCTACTTACGAGCCATATGCCACAATCTATGGCAAGGTCCAAAAAACAATGCTTCAAAACTAGAATGGTCACATATGGAAATACTATTATTGAGACTTGCTCCCGTTTTATAAGCATGTGGCACGAGTACATGGTCCTGAGCTTGACCCATCAAAAGTATATTTTGGGGATGAAAGCAACATGCGCTAGCAAGAAAATGACCAAATGACACTTTTTGCGAACACATATATATGTATTTAATCAGCGTTCTGCATTATAAAATCACGGAAATAACCCAAAATCGTAAACTTTGTACACGTTTGAACACGTGTATTTGGCCCTGTTTTCCTAGCGATACCTGAACGAACAATTTTATGCATGCATCTCTATTGCCAAGAATATTTGATACCTGTTCAAATTTGGGGGCATTATGCGCAGATACCCATTTGGATACTTTTCCATCTACTCATATTTGATCACAGCATTCTTTGTAAATTCAGTATTTAATCATATTTAATACTATTTGAGGGACTATTTTTAATCGTTCCATTCTTGTTCGGTACCGCAGATGAGCCAGCGGCGCCAAAGGGGCGCGCATCAAGTGATTTAGGAGAGGTGAGGGTCCAAACAGTCAATTCTCACATCATCGAATACACTTCTTATTATTAACTACAGCCACAACTTGGGAAACGCAAGCAAAAATACCGCAGTAATGCCATTTCATACTGCCGCCGTTCCAAAAGTCGTGCATCTCCAACTGCTGCTATAACATTTCAATTCCAGGTAAATCAGTCTATCTGTCACGATACTCGGATAGTTTGGTCGACTTAATTTCGAGATGAATCTTGATTGTATTAATCATAACCAAAAACACGACATTCACTGCCTTATCGCAAATGCGTCTGTTCCGTTCCACGCGGGTCGTCAATTCCACGCATTGTTGCATTGCCCGCATTAATATTTATAACAATATTAATATCATTATTTATATTATATTACTATTCTCCACAGCAATGCTGTGCTATATGCTGGTATTCTTTTTCTCATTGATTCTGCTTAGAATCAAGCCGCATTCTCAGTGCAAACCCAACCAACAAATCGCACTGCTCTCCCGGTGATAGCTAAGATCGATCTACCTCTTCTGAATGGCAGGACAAGCTCACCATGCCTCACCCCAGGCCCTAGCAAAATGCGAAGCCGCGTTTTCACCTGCTTTTCACATATCGCAAGAACGGCGACGCCATTTGCCACGTTAGAGAACTCTTGGAATAGCTCCTTTTGGGACACTTTAAATCTTCTTTGGTCAGTATTTATGTATCGCACGTGTTGATCTCCGTTCACGCACATTTGAGATGCGAAACGACTTTTGGAACAGAGGTATTTTGCGCGCACAATGGAATTTTGCGTTGATCCAAGCATTTTATTGGAGGCAAAATCGACGGGATCGAATTGAGGTCACGAAGGCGTTGGCTTTGTCATGCCTGAAGAGCAGGAGCGCAGGAAGGATTCGGGCGGACATGGCGGCTCTTCCAGCCCGCCGACGGGATACAACGCCCTGGAATTCAAGAACCTCAACGTGGAGCCGGAGATACGGGATCTGTTTAAGTACATAGGCAGGTGAGAACCCCGTTGGTCGCGCCCTGCCGTCGGGCGCGCCGAGCTCAGGCGTGGGCGGCGAGGAGCAGCGCCGAAACCATGGCGCAAGTTGCGCAACACTTTGGCAAGCCAATCCAAATGGGAGCGGGCAGTGGGCTTGAGCTTGCAAAAAATTCCGATGCCCTTCATTACGGAACATGCAAGACACAAAGTTCATCGAGTTGTTTTGCGCATTTTGTTCAGGTTTTGTGTTTTCATGGGCTCTCGCGCCCTTCGTGGCATGCATGAACTTAATGTATGGTACTGATGGGAGTCAGACAATCTTCTAAATGCGGCATGTTGAGAGTGGCAACGTTGATTGTGCGTTCAGCTGGCGTCATTTATTGATAACTTAATTGAGCTTTTCGTTCCCTAAAATTGCGGCATTCGCACTACTCTTGTGTTTTCCCGCAATTTATCCTAAATTCCCCAGCATCTGTTATAATTTCTCTGAATAAATCATTCGATTTTAGGCATAATAGATTGCAGCAAACTCTCTCGCCAGATAAAAGCTGAAACCAATCTGAAATCAAACAATTTGAAAAACGGAATGGGGCAAGCATTTCAAGTTGTTTCATGCAGGTACAAGCCCCCTTCCACGGATTTGGACACAAAATTGAAACCTTTTATCCCTGATTTTATTCCCGCCATCGGCGACATAGACGAATTCATAAAAGTGCCGAGGCCCGATGGTCGGCCGGATTATCTCGGCCTCAAGGTGGGCCCCGCAAATCTTTTTTCTACATGTTTACGGATAACATTGCATTAAAAACATCTATGTTGTATATGTCGTGGCTTTTGAACCAAAGCGTGCCAACCGGGCTTGATATTCATGTTTCCTTTTACGTTCCGGGTTATCATTTTGCACCTGAAAACGCAAAATTTGCAAAGATATTATTTTTGCGGCTGTACTTGCGTGTTCGCGGACACAAGGTTACGCGATGACAGTTCAGTATAATGGTAAGTTATCCGCCCCCTCGACCATATGGAACATAGCGCCCACCCCAACCCTGGAAATGGCAACGGCGTCTTCGAAAAAAAGTTCGCTTTCTACTCCCTCCAGCGCGTCTGTCTGCCACTCCCCGGATCCGGAAGGAGTCCAGAACCCGTAAATATGTATGTACTGTCTTTATGTACACGTGGCTGTATTCGCGCTGTATTTACGTCTTTTTATCCCTTTCAATGCGCAAAACGTAAAGACTATACTTAAGAGACAAACATAATACGTTCAGTTTTTACGGGGTAAATAGCAAACCTGGTGTCCACAATGGATGGAAGTAACTGGTTCACCATTCGGCAAAAGTAGCTTCACGAAATCGAAGAGGCGCGAAATTATATTGATCAGCAGAAAATTGCAGAACTTATTTTTCCATCTCACAAAGGAATTACCGTAAATGCACCGGAAGGAATGGACGCCTTGTGCATTCTGCGTTTCGAAATGTTCCACTTTCGACATGAATTTTGGATTTTTTCTACATGGAAAATCAGTATTAATCACAAGTCTTACAACAGTAAAGTCCATATTATTTACGTTTCTGTCAATGCCACACATTTGAACTCTACTTAAGAAGGTGGCATGCAGTGAGCGCGTTGCATCCTGATGAGGAATTTCACGAAAGCACCTTTGTTGGGGTGGCGATTAAAATATTCTATACAATGGTCGCAGCATCCTAAACACATCGATGTTGTCATTACCATTACGTAATATTATTACCAATGCATAGTTGCGAAGGTCTTTTACACGTGTATACCGCATTCTAGATGTAAAGGAGAAATGACTGTTGCCGGCGCAGGTGCTGGACGAGCCCGGAGCGCACCAGTCCAACCCCACCATCCTGAGCCTGAAGCTTCGTCAGATCATCAAGAAGCCGGGGGGCCGCGACCAGAAGGAGGTGGTGGGCCTGGTGGCCCACGGAGAGGAGGGACGGATCAAAAAGATCAACGGCTGGATCGAGAGCATCAGGGAGATCAGGAGCAAGAACGCGCCGCCGGTTGTCACGTACCCGGAGGCCATGCCCGACGTCGAGGCGCTGATGCAAGAGTGGAGCCCGGAGGTGGCGGAAACGCTGCAGGACATGCGGCTACCCACCAAGGACTTGGTGCGCGGCAGAACCAGTTCATTTGGATCAACCTTGCAGGATAAATTGGTACAAGCAATTAGTACCGGCAATTCTGTAATGTACTGAATCTCATGTCAATTTTCCCAAAATCAGAGTTTTGTTTTTAATTGCCATTTTATTTGTTTGCACTCGATGTGCAAGTCACTGGAGCGAAGTGCCGAAATGGGAGTTGAACTGCGCATCGGACGCTGGTTTTTGACCAAATTGGCGTCAGGGACCGCGGGAGGTTACCGGGCATCCTCCCCGCCCAGACCTTGGTGCGGGAGGGAGTCAACTTTATTTATACCGTTGCTGCTATTAGTTCTCTCAATTGTTGCTATTTTGGGGGGAGGATTTGTAACTTTCTTATCGCGCGAAACGAAAGTAACCACCTCTTCAAATTTTCTGTTTACACCGATGCATCGTTCACTATTATTCGTTAATTAATCCTGATGAAATAGTTCTACAAATAACCAATTGCTGCTTTGCTGAACTACTTGGCGACTGGGGCATTGGCTTAAAGGATGCTTCAATTCAACCTGTAGATAACTGTCGATTTAGCTCATTTCTGCATGTGCTGAAACGGATGTTTAGGGGTTAATTACCGAAAATATGTATCTTAAATCGATAAATGTAATGCATGCAGCATCACTGCCACCAGTGTGCAGCGACTGTGTATGTAACATGCCCCCGGGCGGCGCACCTACACAACACCCGCAAGTAGAGCTGCGAGCATTTCAACTTTTCTGGTGAACATCATATTCCGAACATTCGAGCTGTAGTGGTTCGCTGCGCAGGACGTCGACTTGATGACTTTCGTTAAAATTGTGTGCACCGTCCTGGACATTCCCGTGCGGTCTGACCCGCTCCCCTCCCTCCACATCCTGTTCCTGCTCTTCCTGGAATTCAAAAACCACCCGTATCTGGCGGGACACCAACTGGCGGGGTCCGCCGAGGCCCCGGGGAGGCCAGTTGCCAGCGCCGGCGCCATGGAAGGTCCGATGGTGCCGAGCCCTGGGCTTATGGACATTCGCTGATGGGGGCGTTTGTGGGCATAAACAGCAAATAGATAAAGCAGAAAAATATGCATTAATTCTGATGTGCGCGGTGATTGACACCGCCAGTGTCTGGCGGGGCCGCAAATGGCCGCAAGAATTCAGCCCACGGGAATGGCTGCGCGTGGCTGCAATGTGACGGACGCGTCGAGCGACTTAGAACTTCCAAACCATCTCTGATGGAGTTCCGCGAACATGGAATTTGGGTGACCGTGGCGGGCAGGGATTTGTGAACAGATTTTGTTGTGTTTGTCGACTTGAGTTTTCCAGCAAATACACGTCAGGGGCGTAGGGATAGGCAGCTAATAGCTGGGAAGATTGATTTTGTAAAGGGCGATTAGTGAATATGGCGATTTTTCCAAGATCGTCTTAAGAGAAAAGTCTTGATTTGCTTGAAGGGATGCCTTGCGGGTATGTAAATTTGGGTCCTACAGCCACAATGGGCTTTGCCTGCTTTAGGTATCTTGGATACTTTTATCAGCGAATCCAGGGTTTGGACATGCTATTGGACTTCTGAGCTGCTAGCCACACCCGCCATGGGTGTTTCATGGGTTCTAGGGTAGCGCAACGACGGCTCGTTTGTGGGAATCCCGTTTCAGTTGAAGAATACCACACTGTCGGAACCCAAACTCTGTGCTCTCCAAGATTTTATGCAGCAGGCAGTAGCCCACGTACCCCGTACCTGGTATGGGCTGGTATGGCCATTCCTAATCACCCTGTTCAGGCGACTGTGAGTGCCTCAGTGGTTCAAGTGCGCCACGTGGCGCACTTGAACGGAAGCGCAGACGTGAGCACAATTTTAGAGTCCTTGAAACTGAAACACGAAATTCTGTCACATGTCCGGGTTTGGAAACCGTCAGGCGAACGTGTCCTGCGCATTTGGGTCGCAGAAACGAAAGATTGGACGTGGATTAAACGTTTCAGTTATGGAAGCGCCAATGCGGACGCCAGTAACTTTTCCAATACTTCGACGAAAATAGATAGCACTAGTACAAAACAGGCCAAATAACACAATCCTGACACCGTCTGCTCAAAATCCAATTGTGTACTTTCGGCAAATGTGGTCCCAAAAGTGCACAGCTAATACACACATTGACACAGTTTTAACCGTGCATCCTAGGAAACCGTGTAGTCTACACAGTTGTTTGAGGGTACACGGTCAAAACTGTGTCAATGTGTGTACAAACTGTGTACTTTTGGGACCACATTTGCCGAAAGTACACGGTTGGATTTTGAGCAGACCGTGTCAGGACTGTGTCATCTGGCCTGTTTTTTCCTCGTGTAGGCGGCTGGGCTTCGTCGACGGCCAGCAATAACGTTCGCTTTTGCGTTTCCCTTAGCTGCGGAAGGCAACCACGTTCATCCAACCGCATTACAAGTCGCTTGGAGCCAGGGTCCGGCGTACACCGCTCAGACGGAGACACAGATGTGCGCACCGCGTTTGGGTATCCGGAGCAGAAAGGAGAATGTGTGATACTCTCAATTTTCAAAACGGGAGCGAAACGTGTGCGCTGCATTTGAGTTTCCAAAATGTAAACGCAAACATGCCCTTCGCGTTTCGTTGGCGCCTCGGCCTGAACGGAACGTAGTAGTGAAAATACGTTTGTTTGTACCTGCTGCCGGAATGCAATTGGATCCATGCTGGCAGAAAAAAAAATTGGCAATGCCAACTTCAATGTCATTTTGTCGCTGTGTGGCTCATCGCATGATTGCTATAGCATCAAAATAACATTGGTGGAACAATTAGTGGCAAATGGGATCGCAGCCGACATCGCAAAGGTGGTGATTTCTGCTGGTGCCTGTTGTAAAGGGTACTGAAAAGGCTGTGGGTGCGGATCCCCTGCACAGACATGCCGTTTCGAGGGACTTTCGAATTCAAGCAAGAGGTTGGTCCTGGGGTAATTTGCATAGAAAATTCTGAACTATGTTGAGTTGGCGCAATAGAAAACAATGCATTCCTGTGCATCTTACAGCGCATGATTCTGTAGAAGAAAAAGAGAGAATCTCTCAATAGGTCCCGATTTTCCATCCACCATTTGTGTTCTTGCGCGAGAGCGGCGCCGTGAGGTAATATCGTGCGGCGCCACTCTCGCGCACAAATGCAGAGATTCTGGAGGTCCGCGCCATTCCAAAACAACAAATAGGAAGAGGGAAAATGGTTGCGAGGCACGACTAGAAACGGCAGCTCTCAAAAACGGTTTGGGAAGCGAAAGGAAAAGGGGCATTTAACTCAAGAACAACTCTTCAGAGGCTCATATTCCCGGCCACCGTCAAACGGCATAGGCGTGAAAAGGTGAAAAGTAGATGTTTGTCATTGTGCGAGGGCGCCTAATGGGCCGTTAGGCCAAAAGCCTGATGTACATTTCACTATGAGCCCAGAGGCTTTTAGGCCAAGCCCCAGGGTGCTTCCAAAAAGTTGAGAAGGAAAACCCCACGTTAGCAGAAAGAGGCACAATTTTCTAGAGCCTAAATCACTGCACTCCCTGTACACCCCACATTTGCGAATTACACTGGGTCGCAAGCAAACGCGCCATATAGCCAATCATTTTGTGCGTTAGAATCGACCCTGCCTTGTGAGCCTGCACGTGCCACAAAGTTTGTGCTGATTCAGCTCCTGTAGCGCGGCCTTCAGGCTTTACTTCTCCTCCTTTTCTGGTGCGCTTCGGCTTCAAAAGGCGTCGCTCTTCATAGAAAAAAGCAAATCGTTTTGACACCCACGAGTTTGGTGCTTTGTGCATTGCCGATGCGGCTGCCCTTGCGCCCAAATGAGCAGATCTGCAAATTGATTTAGTGGCTCCGCTCCTTGTGTCCAATTGAAAAGAAATGACAGCACCTAAGCCGCGAAGACTTAAGGAATATACTTCAGGAAGTGCAAACTTCGGTAAATGCTCTAGAGCTGAGTGGGGACGACTGACTTTTCCGTCTCAATATACTTGCTGGCATGTACTTAGATTAGGAGCAACTGCATGCCTTGCGCTTGTTCAGATGCAAGCACATTTATCTCCACAAATTTCCTACCCGATTTCCAACTCAATTTCCAAATCCGGGCGAGATATTATTCTCTTTCAAGGAAAGAGGCCACGTGTCGTGTCTTTGTGCCCTTTTCTCTTGGAGCCTCCTGCCACAGAACAGAAGTACATTGCGTCATATACCACACAGCTATTCTCCACGACGTCTTTCCACATGGTGGCCCTCTCTTGCGGCGATTCCCACCAGCCTCGACTTGTGGCTTCCTCCGCTACAGTGTCCCTCGGTTGCTGTCGTGTTCCCGTCCTTGAACGACTGCGATTCCCTGTACTTCGCAGTGCTCTTATTCTCCTTGACTGTTCCCGCCGGCGATATCTCCATGGCAATTGCCATTTCGCGCCACAGGGTTGGCGCTTATCTTAAAATGGCTGCAGTATTTAATTCTCAGGCAGTGTTCTTAAAATGGCTGCAGTATTCAATTCTCAGGCAGTGTTCTATGCATTTCAAAGCAGGGCGTCCGCGCTGAGACTCCAACTGCATTGCGCCCAGCTGATGCCTGCACTGCATATCTTAATGGCGATGTCTTGCATAGTGCTGCGATTGTTAACTCCATTTACACACAATGAAAAGCACGACATGCAACAGTGCATGTGCCCTTGTTTTGCAATAGAACCGCTAGGACAGACATGGATCGACCTAGAATGCCAAGAGCACAACAGCTGTGTGCATAACCGCGAGAATGCACCTGCGTTGAGCACGACGACCATCGCACGAACGCGAAAGCAGATACAGGCTAATCCAGGCCCCCCTATGCAAAGAGCTCATCAGATATGCACACCACTCGGGGTATAGTCACCAACGCACCCCGGATGCGTGTCGCAGCAAGGTGCCGTCACTGGCACCGCTGGCGCTGGCGTCCATCCTGCGCCACTTTTGAGTTCATCACTACATGATCATTCACACACACGAATGTCATGCAAAATGGAAGTTGAGCTGCGCATGGACGGCAGGCGTTCCATGGTGTGACTGCCCATCAGGAACCCCCATCGCAGCAAAAAAAAGAGGCGGAATGTTTCAACGCTGGGTTGGACACATCCTTGGGGACACAATCCGCAACCTCGACTGCCATGAACGAGTCGGACTCGGGGTTGCCCAAACTAAAAAGGACTACAAAAGGCTTGACAATATCATAACAGCAGTTGAGAGCGGTTTTCCCAAAACCAAATGGGCATGCAAGGTGCTTGACAATATCACAATAGAATGAGGAGTGATGGAAGTGCCATGCCGCACGCCCACATCGCGTTGATGCACTGCCAATCAATGGGCGACTGCCATTGCTGGCCCTGCAAGGCATTTCGGAATTACAGAAAACTGTAAAGTGGTAGCTCTCCAATTGGTTTTTCGATTGCAGCAAGGGTTTTGCCACTCGATTCGTCCCATCATCATTTTTGTTTCAACACTCGCCTTCATCTAAGCAACGAAATTTCCCACCTCTTGACACAAGCTATGTTAGCTAAAAATAATCGACTAACCGCTACAATCAAAATGAATCCTGCGACATGAGCTGTTCTAACTTGCGTTTTCCCGCTGCGGGGCTCCACTCCGTGTCCAAGCTGAAAGCATGCGCTTCGGTGTTGAACACCCAGCCCTCTAGTGGCAGCACGTCAGAGTCGGCAAACAGCAAATACAAGTACTTCAGGCTCTCCGCAAGAAAGAAGCTCTCCTGCTCATCCATAAAGCTCTCAGGGAGCGCCGCATCCCCCAGAGTCGAATAACCCCCCTCTTCTATCCTCGCGTACTGCTCCCACGCATCGAATATATCCATACCCCACTGCCTGTACTTCGGGTCGCCGGTGAGGCGATACAACACAAACAGGCTTTCCACCGTCTCTGGGCGCAGTTTGCTCTGGCGCTCAACGCTGCCGTTGCGCTTAGCCGGGTAGGCGAAATCCCTGGCAGGGTCAGCGGGAAACACCATCATCTCGGGGCTAAGGCCCGTGCGGCTGGTCTTGTAG